CCTGGCAAGCGCAAGGGCCTGAGTTCAATCCCCAGTTCCGCCAAAAAAAGAAAGAGAGAGAGAAAGTATGCACTTTGGGGCCTGACCCTTAGCTCAGTTCTTTAAGTGGCTGCTTCAACAAAGCGGTCAGGCTCAGGTTGCTGTGGTTCGAACCTCACAACTCAAGCTGACCAAACCTGCCCTGAAGGCATTCGGAGCAAAAAAAAAAAAAAAAGAGAGAGACAGAGAGAAGAAAATGTACACTTTGATAGCATTAAGTACTTTTTCATTGTTGCATAGCCATTACTATTATCGATCTCAGGAATTTTTCAATATTCCCAAACCAAAACTTTATGCCCATTAAACACCCACTTTGTATTCTCTGCTCCCACTAGCCTTGGTAGCCAATATTCCACTTATTGTTTCTCTAAAATTTCACTACTCTGAAGTACTTCATTAATACAATATTGATTTTTTGTGATTCTGCTTTGTTTTACTATAATTCCTCAGGGCTTGCCTATAGTGTAGCATGTATTACAATCTCCCATTTAAAGGCTGAATATTTTAACCACATTTTGTTTATCCATTTATCTGTCCGTGGATAGTTGGGCTGCTTTCACCTTTGGCTATTGTAAATAGTGCCACGAACATGAGTATACAGCATATACTGATAGTTGTTAAAATCAGTTGCTTTCAGTCCTTTGATTTACATCTAGGATTACAATTTCTGAGTTATATAGCATATAGCCAGCTTTTTGAGAAATTGACTTACTGCTTCAGTGGCTATCCCATTTCATGTTCTAATAACAGGGTTCTACATTGTCTTATAGGTACTTTTTTTGTTTGTTTCTGTGGCTTGTGTTTGGTTGGTTTTTGCTTGTTTGTTTGTTTGGATGGTTGGTTGGCTGGTTGGTTGGTTAGTTGCTTTTTGGTGTTTTTGAAACAAGGTCTCATTATTTAGTTCAAGTTGGCCTTGAGCTTAGTGTGTAGCCCAGACTAACTTCAAAGTCGTGGTAATCCTCCTCCCTTAGCTTCCAAAGTGCTGGGATTATAGGTGTGTGCCACCGTGCCTGGCCCTGATCAGTGCTTCTGATGGTCTCCGTCCTGATAATGCCATTCTTATAGTATGCAATATGTCTCATTGTGGTTTTGATATACATTTCCCTGATATAACTAGTGATACTGAAGATTGTTCCCTATACTTTTTGGCCGTCTGTATAATCTTTGGAGAAATGTCTGTTCAACTCCTTCACCCACTTTTAAGGTTTTTTTTTTAATTGCTGACTTTTAGCCAGAAAACTTATTGATTTGCAAGTATTTTTATGAGAATGTTGGGCTGGGGAGATGGCTCAGTGGAATAAGCGCTTCCCTGGCAAGCACAAGGACCTAAGTTCAATCCCTGGTTCCGCCAAAAAAAAAAAGAATGTTTGCTGTGTGGTGCCTTATAAAAACATGCCCATTTTTGTTTTTATTTTTTTTAAGTCTCTCTTTGCACACATAAAAAGATACAGATGTATAATGTCTGCCGATATATGTGTATTAATTGTAATGTATTGTTCTATACTATAATTGGATAGTAATATATCCAATTATAAAATAAAATACTTTTTTTTTTGTCCCAACAGTATATCCTTTCAGGCTCTGATGACTTCAACCTATATATGTGGAGAATTCCTGCAGATCCAGAAGCAGGTATGTCTTCAGTATGTGAACCCACTGTTATGGTTGGCTGTACTGACTTCAGTCATATAATGCCCTGAGAGACAGATCTGTCACTTGGAGATGCTATATCTCTCTTGGAAAAATGACCAAAGGAAAACTTAAAAATGATGCTTTTTTTGTTTGTTTGTGTGTTTGTTTCTCTGAAGAACTTTCATTTTAGACTGCACAGATCGCCCCATTTCCTCTCTCCTCTAATTTTCACACTTGGAATACTTTGTCTTGCTTTACATGCTTTTCCTTTACAACTCATCTCCACACTTTAGCTTACAATTGTATAAACAGCTGTTAGGGCTCTTCCTTCCCATTGTCTCCCTGGTGATGCTAACTAAGGGAGTCTTTGTCTGTTGACAGGTGCATTTCCTGAGGTTTTGAGAACCTCACACATCAAAGAAATATTTCTGCGTTTGCTCTAGAGATATTCTGAGAAAAACGTGTAACTTTTCATAAAATTAGATATAAGTCAACTGAGTTTTCAAGTACCTGAATCATCCATCTTTATTTTTTTTAAATTTTATTATTATTATTATTTTTTAATGTGTGTGTGTGTGTGTGTGTGTGTGTGTGTGTGTGGCCAGCTCAGCCCACCAGGGGGCGGGGCTGGCTGGCATGTGGTGCTGGGGGATTGAACCGTGGTCCCTGTGCTTTGCTGAGCTTGTTTTAAGTAGGTGCTTTAGACCACTGAGCCATCTCACCAGCCCCTCTTTATTTTTTATAATATCTTAAATGTATATGTATGCATACACACACACACACACACACACACACACACACACACACAGAATATCTCAACATAGCCATCTGCTCTAGGTGATACATCACATCAAGCTGGAAAATGACCACTAGAAAAATAATAGAGGTCTAGGCCACGTGTATGACACAGTTTTTTTCTACTGCTTAACATTGAAGGCCAGGTATTATAGTTCAGTGGCACAGTGCCCCCCTGGCAAGTATAAGGTCCTGAGTTAGATTTCCGACATAAAAAAAAAAAAAAAGGAAATTTTTGCTTTGTTTGTTTTTGTTTTGTTTTTTAATGTATTTAGTATAGGGGCTATAGGTCTCACTACATAGATCCAGCTCGTAATGATCCTCCTATTTTCAGCCTCCCAAGCAGCACTGCAATTATAGGTATGAACCACCGTACCTAGTCTCAGTCACCCATCTCAGCAGGCCCCAGGGACGGAGCCAGCAAGGAATTCTGGGTATTGAACCCCAGTCCCTGTGTCTCCCTGAGCAGGTGCTTTAATCCTCTGAGTTATCAGGCTGGCCCTGCTTGTTGTTGAATTAATGGTATTGTTAACAAATATCTACTTTTCAAAACCTGTTGGGTCCCACTTTTGATATAAACTGTCCAACTGCAGTAGTTTAGTTACTAAACAAGTTAAAGGGTGATTTCCCTGCTAGAGTTTGAGAGCCATGAATGAAGTAGCACAGTCAGGTAGGACAGCAGCACACCACCTAAAGAGAATGACACTGTAGCCCTGAAAGCTGTTATATCCTGCTCCTGCAAACAGAAAGAATTAGCTTATGGTGTTTTTCCTCTCCCTGGTCATTTCTCTGGTGCCTCAGTGTTCAGACAACCTGTCTGCCGGTGCTACAATAACAACACATGAGACTGAGTGCCTTAAACAACACTTGTTTTCTCACAGTTTTAAAGTCTGGAAGTGTAAAATCAAGTGCCAGCAGTTTGGTTTTTCCCAAGGCATTGCCCTTTAGCCAGAGCTCTCCTTGATCCTCACTTTTTTCTCTGTGCGTTTGTACCCCATGCGATTTCCTTCCTCTTTTTTTTTTTTTTTTTTGTGGAACTGAGGATTGAACTCAGGTCCTTGTGCTTGCCAAGGAAGCACTTATTCCACTGAGCCCTCTCCCTGGCCCTCCTCTGCTTATAAGGTAGCATCATGTGCTCTTCTAGATGTTTTTCAGAGATCGTACCCTCAAGTTTATTTAGTAATTCCTCAAAGAAATTATGTTGGTTTTTTTGCTGTACTGATTTCTCCAAATTAGTCCTACCTCTGTTTAAGGATTAATTAACTCTGGCTCATTGATTCTGAAGTGTGCTACATACATGGTGTTTCAGAAAGTACACGCTGTATCACATAAGCCATTGTGGAAGCCACAGAACCCATGATCTACTCAAATTAGAGCTGGCTAGAATCCCATTGTTTCCACACAGGCTATAGCTGGTCCTGGGCTTGGGTTTCTGTGTACATAGGACAGGACCTTATGATTATACTTGTTGGATTCACTAACTAGTTGTTGAGTTTGTTTTTCTGTATTTCTCTTCAGCATTACATCATAAATCACAAGGTCTGTCCCTTTGTCAGCTTTCTCTGCTTGTTACTAACATACCTTTTAGACTATTTTTAGCAAGCTTGTACTCATTAGGGGGTTCAGTCTTTCTGCCACTATTCTGACAGAACCCACCCGCAGTTTCTTCTTTTTTCTTATTCTTGAATCTTTTTACTTTCTATGCTTTCTTCTTGTTCCTTTTTTGTTTACTTCTGTATTCATAATTAAGGACTTGTTAGTAATATGGTAAGGCTCATTTTAAAAAACATAGCAGTCTCCCTGGCTTTCCCTGTAACACTTTTTTTTTTTTTTAATTTAATTTTTTTTTTAGTTTTTCATTTTGGACAGTCTCCATTGATTTCCAACTATTGAAATTAGTTTCCCAAAAGAGAAATCTTATCTCCTACATGGGACAGTATTTGCCTGGCAGTTAAAACTGTGGTTCTAAGAGCCTAATAAGGGAATGAAACGGTAGGCCTCATAGATTTCTGTCTAATTCCACCCTAAGCTGTGACTCATGTCCCTTTTTAAAAGCCTCTTTCAGTCAACTTCGTCTGGTCACCATCAAGCTTCTGCTTGTGTCTGATGGTTATTTTCCTGTTTTAAGGTTTTCATAGAGTTGTTTCCCTGAGATATGCCTGTAAGGCATTTATGGAAGAAAGTCTAATATGATATAATAGTAAGTCTAGTTTTAAATTCCTAATCCATTTGTCTTCTACTTGGAGACCTTGAAAAACATGGTTTGATCTTGTCAAATTCCTGTTTCATTATCTGCAAAAACAAGCATAATAACATCATCAATAAAAATATGTGCTCTCAGAATTAATATATTTAGTAGCTACTCAGTAGTTTCGTTGTTGTTGTTGTTGTTGTTGTCAAATAAGGGAAGCCTTTTAAACTATTGATGAGTCAAGAGCAGATTCCTTTGAACCTAAAACCTTCCCATAGAGCTACTTACATTCCCAGCCCTTTTTTATTTTAGGACAGTGTCTCACTGTTACCCAGGCTGGGCTTGAACATGTAGTCCTCCTGCCTCAACCTTCCAGAGTGCTGGGATTACAGACATGCACTATCATCTCTCTTTTTAAAAAAAAATACTCCTTTTTAAAACTCCTTAGAGATCAAGTCAATGTCCTTTGGTGCCTTTCTGGCTGTGTTGTTCTTACCTGAAGACTGCTCTGGATTCATCAGTAGTTTCAAAGGCTTCCCTTATTTGACAGATTCTCCTTGAATGGCAGGGAGCAGCATGATTTTCACTGCTAAGTCACTGCACCCACCCCGCTGGCAGTAGGCTGAAGAAGGAGGCTGGTAATAGCTGTAAATGTGTGGTAATGATGACCCAGCATATGTCTTTGCTGTCTCCCTTCCTTTTTCTAGACATGCATCCACTCAGTGAGTTAGACCTCCACATCTGGTTTTTTTTTCTTCCCATGTAATTGGAAAAACAACTTTTTAATTGGTCATAAGTAGTTTGTTGCAAACACATATGAAGTACATATGATAATAGAACTCAGTGTAATTGACTTTTATGTACAATTAATCATCACTGCCTGTGGAGGCTTACTGACAGCACTACCATCGCCATCTGGCTACTCTCATCTCCTCAGTGCTTCCACAGTCCCCAGGAATCGACTACAGCTCTGAGTTACCAGTATCCTTAATTGTGACTTGTGGTTTGAAACTTGAAGGCCCTACAATTGTTCACACAGGCCTTTCAGAAATGGTAAAAGGTTTCTTGAGTATCTCTTATTTAAAAAGAAGAGATAAAGTCTTCTGTCCCTCATAGCAGTAAACTTTTAATTCTACCAAGTACAATAAAGAATGAAATAAGATTATGTCAGCAGCTACTTACTAAACCTCATTTTAGCAGGTAATAGCTTTAGTCTCCCTTAAGCTTCATTTCAGAGAAACAAGGGGATTTACTTCAGTTTGTTCATTTACTGAGTATCCCTAGATAAAACATTAGGCAAAGCTGTATTGGCCATCAAAAAGATTCAAAGAATTTCTATTATACCAGGGATACAAAAAAGGGTATGCATACATGTGCGTGCATATTCACACAAAACACTCTATTTAAAAATGGAATCCAAGGTTCAGTTAAGGAGAGGTTGAAGAGATTTGGAGAGATTAGTATAGTTCTCATGTAATTAACATTGTAAAGAACCCTAAAGGATAAGTAGGATTTTTGCAGCTTTTTTTCTCTGCTCTTATCACAGTAAACATGTTATAAAATAAACATCTAAAATAGGCAGCAGAAAGGAGAGGTATAGAAACAATTGGGAATAACCCACATGTTGGGTAATGGAGCCCACAGATGAGCTCTTTTTACCCTGCAAGCTGTACCACTCATTAAATGTTTATTGAAAACTTACTATGTGCTAAGCACTGTTCTATGGGCAGACAAAGAAGCTCTGCTATCCTGGAGCTTACATTCTAGTAAGGAAAACAAACAACAAACAGTAGGAATAACAAATAGTATGATTAAAGCACTGGACCTTCTGTTTAAGAAATGGAGCAGAGTAAGTAAGGAGTCTAGGTAGTGATATAGTGGAGGTGATTGTGGGAATGTTGTTCTGTTTTGTTTTATTTTGAGTACCAGGGAGTGAACTTGGGACTTTGTGCTTGCCAGGCAGGCACTTAAGCCACTGAGCTATCTTCCCAGCCCGTGGAATGCAGTTTTAGAA